AGAGATGCACATAGATTAATTATCTCAAAAGAAAAGTTTTGTCCTCCTCAAATTAACAGTTAACATAAGATCTAGTTGAATTAACCCACACTACACGTCAATATGATTTAGATAAGATTTTAAATATAGTAATGTCTGTGAGGCAAATCTAACTTGGAGGCTGAGAACATAAGAACAGATAAAGATCTTTCTTTACACATGAAGTCACAATGTGTGAATACACCTTTATTAAAGCAAATCACCTAGGCAATATGAATTAAAAGTGATGGTTACTCTATTTTGGATAGGTTTCTCAAAATACTAATTTATTCCGAATTAGTCCTCCTGAGTGTCAGGAAACGGGCAGTATTGCTCTGGTACTGCTAGAGAAAGTGCAGGTAAAGTAAGGATAAAGCTGCTCTTTCTCCCATCCTCCAAGACTTGCCTCTGCACTTCAGTTCCTATATATAGTTCTTGAAGTAATCGAGAGATGCCAGTAAAGACAACTGAGACACTTCCAGTAGGCTGAGTGCAGATCTTTGGGAGTCCCTTGCAGAGACCTTTACCCCTTGCTTCTTCAGTTTTTTTGGAGTTACAGGAACAACAGCCTAGAAAATTCTCAGGTTACAGTAATGACCTTTCCCAAGCAGAGCAACTCAGGTCAAATATAGATCATCTAGGGTTACTCTATGCAGCAGAAGACTTAAAACAGAACTTGAATTCTTGAGGTGCTGCAGAGCAAAGGTTTTTAAGCAACACTTAGCTGTAGCTTTTGGATATGTTTCTTGAAAACAAACTATTAGAAGACCTGTGCAACAAGCCAGCCAGATTTCACCCTTACCACTGGAATCTCCATGCTCTCCAACAATCCATCCGTGGCAGCTCAGAGGATGGACACCCAGTCTTTCTCCCATCAGGTGGCGGAAACGGGCAGAGTCCAGATTGCAGCCACTACCAATAACACGGTGTTTAGGAAAGCCACTGATCTTCCAGGCCACGTAGGTCAAAATATCCACTGTAAGCAGAACAGGGAGGGTAAGTGGTGCTTGGTAACTAAGATGCTATCTTCCATTCATCTGTGAAGACTTTATCTGCACACTAGCAATATGGAATAAAGCATGAAATGGTGCCCATCATCAGGTCCTGCAGAGGGCCAACATAATGACTGTTTTAAAGCTAGAACTGAGAGGCTGTTTATGCTACACATCATTAGCAGTGCCCCTTACTGTGTCCTATGTTAAAGGTCACTTAAAAGGCAACTCAAGACCCAAGTTGGAGACAACTTGGTTTAATTCTCAGAGGACCAGCTTGTTGAGTGTGGAGAGGGAAGATGACAGCTCTTTCTATGTTGTTATGTGGCGTAAGTATTTTCTAAAAGCCTATGCTTGGTCATATTAGTACACTAATGCCACCTTAATGAAGAAAGCACTTCTAATCTAAGCCAAATCTTCTCCTTAAGGCAACACAAGACCAACCTGGGTTTGAGACAATAAGCAGCTTGCAGTCAGGACTGTATTTAACAACATTGGGAATGATGAATTTGAAGATATTCACGTTGCGCTGGACCAAGTTAAGGCGGCTCTCTCCTTCTTGCTGACGGGCACCAGCAGTGACAATGACCAGCTTGGAGTGTGCAGTCACACTGTAATCTGCAGACAAAAGGCAGTGTCAAACATGACCTCTTTTTACACATGGTTCAGATCAGGAGTTCCCAGTTCCTTTTACTATTGATATCTGAAATTCTCAAGTTTGAGGGTGCTGAAATTCTGCTGGTAACTGTTACCCTAGACTTGTATAGGAAGTTGTTTAAGAGCATGGTTCATTGCCACAAGTGGCACCCTTGAGGGCAAGATCTTAACATGTAGAATTGGGCAATGGTATTACATAGTTTTCAGGCATAGATGGGTATGGGGTAACTGTTGGGATGGCATCCAGTGCAAGTGCTGTGCAGAAAAGGAAGAAGGGTCTGCCCTTGTAACCTGCTTCCTGTGGACACTGGAAGGATAAGATGGCTAGCATTTGCCCTAGTCAGGTTGCCACTAAACTTAAGGCTGTCAGACATTTATGGCCAAGTAGTAAGCAGCAACACTTTCAGGGGCTAACTGGCTGCAAAATAAAATTTTCAGGGGTGCAGGAGAACTTAAGAAATTAGTGGTTTAATACTGAGTGAGAAACTCCAGCACACAGGATTGCTACCGGTCCAGTCTTATCAAGGTATCTGAAACTGAATGTCAGCTGAGCAGAAATGAAGTGAGCTTTCATCCTAACCATCAGAATGACAGGCTAAGTCTTGTCTTGGAAGACCAGTTTGAGATCTGAAGTGGCTATCTCCATTTGG